TGGTGTCACTAAGTCACTTCGTGCCCTGGTTCCACACACCTTCTGGGAGTGCTGTTCCCCCAGGGATCCCCTGGACCTCTTTGCCACCCACAGGGCTGAGCCAGCAGGACGCTGTGCAAGACAGACCCAGGGGATCCTGGTCCCCACCTTCCTTAAACCCAGTGTGCAAAATCATGTCCTTATTCTCCCTCAATCAAAGACGACCAAAAATCTTGCTAAATCAACTCTTTGGGGGCCTGCCCAGGCATATCCCAAACAGACCCTGGCTTGCCCGAATTCCTGACTGGGCTCAAGCTAGAGTATCTACCTTCCCATTTGGTTTAGGAAACAATTTTCTACCTGGTAACTCAAATGGGCTTCAGCATAATCCTATGAGGTTGGCAGAAAAAATAGTTCTCCTTTGCAAATGGGAGGCAGAAGCTCTGAGCATCATGTGAAGGGTCCAGTAAGATCCCTGTCTCCTGAGGAGCACGGCTCCCCACTCCTCTCTGTCACACATTTCTCATGGTCTGGTGCCCAAGAGCAGGAGACTGGAGTCAGGGAACCTGCATTCTCACCCCAGCTTCTTAATAGGTTTCTTGACTTCCTTCAGCCTCGGTTTCTTCATCTGTAAAATAGAAATAGAAATCACCTGGACCCCATAAGCCTGCTGTGAGGATTGAATGGAAGGATGTCTGCAAAAAGCCATGCAAACCTCCCACCACTCAGAAACTGCTAGCTGGCCACCAGCTGCCCACACTGATGGGCCAGAGGGGAGGCCAGTGGGCATAAGCCTGTGGCTTTGAATGTCATTCACCCTTCATTTGAAGAGATGCTTTTGCTGTACAATGGGTGTGAAATTCCATCTCATTGCACAGAATTCTTGTAAGGATAAAGCAACAGCACATGTGACGATTTCTTTGGAAATGATGATTGGTTAATGCGTTATTGTCATCAGCAGCCTGTGTCTGGTGTGGCCAGGCCTCTCCAGCCTTCCCTGCATAAACCGTAATGGATGGGTCTCTGACTCTGGGGAAGGAACTGAGACATGCCCCCAGGGTGTGACCAGCACATTCACTTACCTCGGCTCCTCCAGCTCCAGCCCCCCTTTTACAGATAAGGAAACCGAGGCTCATCGGGGTGGCCCAGCATGCCCAGGGTGGCACGGCAGGGGAGTGGAGAACCAGGGATTCCAGCCCAGTGCCACCTGACTCTGCCAGGCTGAACCAACTGGGAGAGAGGAACCAGCAGGCCTGGGGACAGCAGATAAGCAGGGTCTCCTCTACCCATCTCCCTGGGGGCCTTTATGAAAAAAACAGGGGCATGGCCTGGTAAGAACTGAAAATAGCAAATGGTGCAAAGATGGTGGCATTATGAGAAAATGCGCCTCACACAGCTATCCAGGCCCAGGCTTCTCGGACGGGACTGTACTGGAAAGGAGGGTAGCTGTGGGATGAGGCTTGACAAACTGAGTTATGACCTGGGGCCAGGCTGAGAAACCTGATCCCAGATGTATTATTAAGTGACTGCAGCTTGGCAGAAGGTGGCTGGAGGCCACTGGACCTCTTTGTCAGACAATGGCACCCTCTGCTGGCAGCGCAAAGAGGAGCTGTTTAAAGGGAGAGGCCTTGGCTGCAGGCTAACTATAAAAACAACAGTAATAAATATATTAATTGCACATCAGAAAAAAAGTAACGATGACAATAATAGTAATACTACATAATGACATCACAAAGAAGAGGACAAGGACAAAGATGCTTTTCTGGAGCACTTCCTGCCAGTCACCATGCTAACCACTTTACAGGTATTATCTCATTTTTTTCTTTTTCTTTCTTTCTTGTTTTGTTTCTTTGTTTGTTTGGAGTCTTGCTCTGTCACCAAGCCTGGAGTGCAAGGGCGTGATCTTGGCTCACTGCAACCTCTACCTCCTTGGTTCAAGTGATTCTCCTGCCTCAGCCTCCCGAGAGTAACTGGGATTACAGGTGCACACCAGCATTCCAGGATAATTTTTGCATTTTCAGTAGAGATGAGGTTTCACCATGTTGGCCAGGCTGGTCTCAAACTCCCGACCTTAGGTGATCCACCCTCCTCAGCCTCCCAAAGTGCTGGGATTACAGGCATGAGCCACCGTGCCCAGCAATTTTTTCTTAAGTACTAATATTTTTGTCAGCTTGAGGAAGAATGAGGTTCTGAGGTTAGTGAACTTACCCCTGGTGAAGCTGTGGCAAGAACTGATATACCTGCCACCTTTCTGTCCTCTCCAGCTTGGGGAAAGGCACTCTTGGACCACCACATGGTCCATTTCTGTCCCTTGATATGTAGGTGGCTGGCATGCTGGAGGGATTCAGGGCAGCTTTGCAGTGTGACATAAAAATAGGGTCCTCGTTATAAGATTGCCAGACTTAGCAAATAAAAATAAATTGAAATTTAAAGCCAAATTCAAATGAATATTCTGTATTTATCTGGACCATCTCCCCAGACCTGGAGACCCAGGATGAAATCTCATGCCACTACTTGCAAGCTGTCTGACCTTGGGCAGACAGCTTGAAACCTCCCAGCTTTCACTGTGGCATTACAGCCAGGAGCCAGGTGAGCCCAAGCTGAGTTAATTCATCAGATTGACACTGTTGGGGCCAGATCGGCTTCTCTGTGACTCTCTTGGCTTCCCATAGCAGGCAGAAGACCAGCGTCTTGTGACCTGTTCCCTGCCTCCAACACTGTGTCCTCACAAAATTGTGACCAAAGGCAGGAAAGAAAGAAAGAAAGGTTTTCATCCAGGGACTCTCTCTCAGGTCTTGTTGTCTAGACATAGGCCAAGGGAGGCTGGGAAAATGCATCTCTGGCATTTCAGCCTCCGTAGTGGCACATAGTCTTTGCCTGTGGGGCAGTGGTGGGGTGGGGAGATGGAAAAACAACAAAAACAATTGTCACTCAAGAGGGAACACATCATACTCTTTTCATGCCGGGCATTGTCCTAAGGGCATTTGCTATGTATGTTAATGCATTTAACCCTCACTACTATCCCGTTTTACAGAGGAGGAAAGTGAAGCCCAGAGAAGTTAAGCGGCCTGTTGAGGTTCACAGAGTAGCAGGTGACGGAATGAGGATCTGCACCCAGGCAGGTGGTACCGCCACCTAGGAAGCCAAGCTCCAGCCCTTTTGCCTCTTCAGAGACAGTGGCAGAGAGGCCCCACCCTCTCTTACTCATCTCTCCCTCATTAGTGCCAGTGCAGCACAAGGCTGGCACAGAGTAAGTCCTTAACTACTAAGCACCTGATAAACTCCTTATGAGGACAAAGGAGCTACTTCCTGGTAGGCACCTGCTAAGTGTTAGCAATTATTAGTGACTGGCACTTCCTTTCCACCCAACCCTCTCCGTCTGTGTGGGTGGTGACATTGCTCTTCACCTGTGCAAACACCTAACCCCATGGCCAGGGCTCGGGGCACTGCCTGTGCCTGTGGAATGAGTTCTCGCTGTGTGACCTGGGCCTTGTCCCTGCATGATTAGTTCTCTTCAGTTCCTGGAGTGTGAGTTGCTGCTGAGACAATGCAACGGCCATCCCAATTAGGAAGCGGGCGGACAAGCTGAAAAATGCCAAGTGTGGTTTTACTCGTAGCTCTTAAACTTTTTGGTCTCATTCCTAAAAAACTCTTGGTCCTATTATTTCTTATTTTTATATATTTATGGAGTTTACTGGAGTTTGAATTATTATTATTGTGGATGTGGATTAAGTTTATCCATATTTACTGGGTTATACATTGAACTTGATAAATGTATAAAATACTTATTTTAACTCATCTTTAAACCCATTACATATTTTTATTTAAAAATATGTTTTTTAAAAACAAAAAAAATTGTAGAAAAATGCCATTGTTTTTTGTTTATGCAAATCTCCTTAACATCTGGCTTAATAGAGGGCAGCTAGATTCTCGTGTGGGCTCCTCTTTCAATCTGCTGAGATATATTGGTTGTAGTATGTGAAGAAAATCTGGCCTCACATAAACATGTAGTTGGAAAAGGAAGGAGTATTTCAATTGCCTTTTTCAGATAATTGTGCATATTCTTCTTTGATATGAAACCCAAAATTGACAAAAATTGTTTTCTATTCCGTTACATAAACTCCATTGTTCTCTCTTGGATGGATTTTTCCTCATGCCTGATTTTGTACCATCACGCACTGGTCATTTAGAAAACATTGGTTTACTGTGTCATGCCCAGCTTCCAAATCTTAGCATATTTCTCTTAAATATCAAAAGATCTTGACTGAGAACGTTACCACATGTCTTCTCAGATGAGTGTTTAATTATTAAGAAATGGTCAAGCTCATAGTAGCGGATATAGATTTTTTCAAATTCTAATTTTCACTTGATAGATCAGATTTATCATCATTGGTAAGAAATATCATTTTTTCCCCTTTGAAGTGACAAACTTACTTTACCTGCTTTCAAGAAAATATCTACTAAATACTCAAGTCCGAATAGTTTTCCATTTGTAATTTCAAGTGAAATCGTTGTCCATAAAAAAGTGGCGGATTCAGCTGAATAAATTGCTGAAGTGTTTTTCCTCAAGACAGCTATCCTTCTAGAGTATGCGGCAAAAGTGCTTCATGCATAGCTTCCCTTTTATCTCAAAAAGTTGTGGACGCAAGAGTTGAGGCTGAAGAACATTAATTCATACAGCTTTGTCAGGGACATTCTTAGTGAAATTGGCATCTGCATATTTTTAAAGCAACAAGTGCATGGTAACTGTGAAGAATCCAATGATGGCCACGGCAGCATGCTGCCACTTCCCTCCATCCCTGCCAAAGCTTCAGCAGATTCCCCTCTGCTGCTTCTGCACCCTCAGTGCACGAACACTTGAGAGCCAGGCACGCTTCTAAGCTCTCCGCACCTATGACCTCATGCACCGGCCTCCACAAGTGGCTTTGTTTCCATGGAGACAGTTGCCCAGCCGAGGACTACATTTCCCAGCCTGCCTTGCTTCCAGAGCAGACCACCTGATTGGTCCTCAACCATGAAACAAACGCAGGCTGAAGTGACCGGTGCCAGTTCCTCTGACTCAGGCGTGCCTTCCTGGCACTCTCTTCCCCTTCTGCCACAGGATGCAGAGGATTCTAGGATCCTAGGAGAAGGTGAGGCACAAGATGTAAAGCATCCAGTCTCCTGAATTCTCTCATGGAAGGAAGTCTCCTACCAACCAGGACCTCCCACACCGGATGATCAGTGACAGAAGAAAGAAGTAGAATTTTTTTGGCGGTAAGCCATAGAATTTTAGAGTTTATTTGTTACAGCTGCTAGTGTCATTCTGCGCCATGTAGCCAAAGTTTAAAAGCTTATATTGGCTGCTTTGTGCAGAATAAATGAGAAAGGGAGCCACAGTGGGTGTGGGCCAGTGAGGAGGTGCCCTGGATGTGAATGATGGATTAGAGATGAAAAGAAGTAGATATAGCCTGAACATCAGTAGGCAATGGAAGGAGAGGAGTATGAAAGGTGGGTTGTGAGGCAGACGAAGGAGAGAAAGATGCTCAAATTCATCGCCTTCCCAACCATGTGGGCACTGATGTTGCTACCAGAATGAAGTTCACCAAAGGAGAACCAGGATATCAGTTAATGTCGAGGCAGAAATTCTGGGCTGTTATTTTCAGTATGAATTCCTATTACATAAGGATTTTTTGAAAATGTAAGGCCATAATCACATCCAATGAATAAATCATATTTATGTAATATTAGTAGCATTCAATACCCAGTCCATGTTCATTTTTTCCCCATAGTGTCATTCAACAATTGGTTTGTTAGAATCCAAATAAAGGATCCAACACTATTTTTTTTTTTATTTGAGATAGAGTAGACATGATAGATGACTCATGTCATCCAGGGTGGAGTGCAGTGGCAAGATCTCAGCTAACTGCAACCTCCACCTCCCAGGTTCAACCTCCACCTCCCAAGTTCAAGCACACAATGCCCAGCTATTTTTTTTTTATTTTTATTTTTAGTAAGGATGGGGTTTCACCTTTTTAGCCAGGCTGGTTTTGAACTCCTGACCTCAGATGATCCACCCACCTCAGCCTCCCAAAGTGCTGTGATTACAGGTGTGACTCACCTCTCCTGGCCTTCAAACTGCATTTTTTGATGTCGCTTAATTCTCTCTTAAGCCCCAGTGATTCTCTCCATCTGACACCTGACCGTCATTAATTGCTCTGAAAAACTGGGTAACATTTTTCTTGTAGAATTTTCTACATGATGGCTCTGACTGATTGACTGATGTTGCTTACCTGTTCATCTCTCCCACATATATCCTGGAAACTTAGTTCTAGAAGCTTGATTAAATTCTTGGTTAAATTAAATACCTGCCAGGTGGAGCTCATGTACTCCCTACTATGTAAGGGGTGCATCATGCCTGGGCATCCCCCTTTGGTGTTGTTAAAATCGTTCTGTGTGAGGTCGTGTCTGCAGGATCTGTCAAGCATACACGACCACATTAGTCTGTTCCATGTGAGTCTTAGCAGACACTCATGAGCATTACTGAGATAGAGTGCTTGATTTGGTATTATAAAAGGCTAATTTTTCCATTTTATCATTCCTCCTGCATGTGTTAGCTTTGACCTTCGAAAGAGAACTTCCTCTCATCAACTCTTTTCTTATCCTGAGCTATAGTCTTTAGAGGGAAGGCAAGGTAAGTATTGTATTCTTACCCTTTATTTATCAATTTTTAGGATAATGAACTGGTACCCTAACCCCCTCCAAAAAGAACTAGTAGTGTCATTATGAGCTCATAGCTTTTAACATTTGCTGCATTTCAATCCATTGCAGCCAGTATTCTTTCTGATGCTAAAATTATCCCATCCTAGGACAGTGGAGGGGCCCTTCAAATTGGACCCTCTCTCCTGGAAGTCTTTGATCACGTCTTAATTCCAGCATGACAAGAGATTCCAGACTCGTCTTGTACATTTCCTGCTCCAGACCGGGAGTTGGACAATCCAGCTTTACTACAAGGAGCTCTGGTGCCTCTTAGTGGGGAATGGTACTTAGACTTTCCACACCCTTCCAAAATCTAAGCAAAATGATAATGGATATAAAAATTAAGAAAAATCCACATCAGCAAAAGAAAACAAGAAAGAGGATGGATGCATGGTGCCAGGGACAAGAAGATTATCGGCACATAAACTACAGAGAGGGTCCCACCAACCCCAGAGAAAGAAAACAAGCCTGTCTGGGGAGGGAGCAGAAGGAGCCCTGACAGCTGCAGGGTTACCCTCAGAAGCTCAGCTGGGAAGAGCAAGAGGAAAGCCACACTTAATCATACCTGGCCGTGAGGAAGCATTTCAGTGGCTTGCCTCCCACCACTGCACTCCTGAGCCAGGCCCTTTCCACACAGCCCTGCCTGACTGTACAGATAACAAAACAGAGATGCAGGGAGGCAGAGAGGCCCACCCGAGGTCTCACAGCCAGTGACAGACTCAACCCTCAGCTCTGACTCCCACACCTACCACTCTGCCCCAATCAGTACCTTCATTCTCACTGTTGCCCTCACCTCCTCCTCCACGGGCTGGGCTCACCCTCAGCTTCTCCCTGACCAGTGACACGGGAGGTCTGATTTCTGGCCCACCAGCTCTGCTGTGCTTCCCTTGAGGGTATGAACCTTGATGTTCATTCCTTCAGTTGACAAACATCTATTGTGATGAAGTGTCCAAGGTTCCACCCCTGTGATGAAGAATTTTATGTGTCAACTCTACTGAGCTCAGGGATACCCAGATAGCTGGGATGCATTATTTCTGAGCGTGTCTGTGAGAGTGTCTCTGGAGATTAGCATTTAAATCAATAGGCTGAATAATATGGTTAGGTACCATCCACTCTGTTGAGGGACCAAATAGAAAAAAGGTCGAAGGGTAAATTTGCTCTCCTTGTTTGAGTGGGGGCCTGTGTCTTCTCCTGCCCTGGGGAATGGGTGCTCCTGGCTCTCAGGTTTGCAGATTCAGACCAGGGCTGACCCCCATCAGCATCCTGATTCTCAGGCTTTCAGATTCAGGATGAATGACGCCGCCAGTTTTCTTGGTTCTCCGCTTGCGAATCACAGATAGTGGGATTTCTTGGCCTCCATAGTCTCTTGAGTAATTCCTGTTTCAAAAAAAAAAAAAAAAAAAACACCTCATCTATCTATCTATCCATTTCTCCCATTGGTTCTGTTTCTCTGAAGAATTCTGACTGATACAATCCTTTTATGTCTCATCCAGAGCTTAGAATACTTGGCAGTGCTCCCTAAATAGCTAGCAAATAACAGGCTGACTCAGTAAGCTCATGAGTGAGGGAAGGAAGGAAGGAAGGGGAAAAATCACAAGAGTGGCATCCAACATGGTTGAAACCCCTGGGTCGTTCCAGCCTCTTCCAGCAGGCAGGGAGACAATCCACTCTCCTGAAGCCACCATAGGCTTTATCTGAGCTCCACAAAGGCAAGGAGAGAAGCCCAAGTCATTTCAGGGAATGTGGATTGAAAAGACCAGGGCTGGATGCAGGTGGTGTCCTCTCACATCTGTCTGTCAGGGGGTCTACTGTCCTGGAAACCAGCTCTGCACTCACTCAGTGACGGAGGGCAACTCTGCGGCTGGTGAGTAGGAGACAGTGATTCAGAGAACTCAGGTCCACTCCAATGCCAGCAGTAGATGTGGAGGGAAGGCCCCTACACAGAGGCCTCTGACCGTGCCCTGAAGACGTGTGGATTTACAGTGATGGCAAACTGCAGAAGTGCAGGTATGGGTGCTAGTGAATGATCAGCTTTAGTCTGATTAAAGGAAGTGAAAGAGAAAGGGAACTCTACCGGACTCCTATGCTGTGTGAAGCTCTAGGAGTCAAAGTTTATGATCCCTGGTTTATAGCTGGAAAAGCAGGCAGAGTGAGTCAGAGTATTGGCTGCAGGCACCCAGCACACAGGAAGGGTCAGTTGGATGCCTCACCCCCTCAGCCAAGACAATCCTTCATCATGCTGCCTCCTGAGCAGGCCATGCAAGGACCCTGAAAAGGGGCCAGCTGGGAGGAGCTGCCCGAGGCCCAGGGGGCCATGGGAGCTAGTGATCTCGACTCTCATCACCAGCTGGACCCAAATGAAGCCCAGTTCTCCTCATATTGACCTGAGCTAAGATTTGGGAAATAAATTTTCTCAGTTGTGCCTTTCTTTGGAGGTCCTGATGAAATCAATGGCGTTCTTGCATCAGCACTAACCATTTAGAAGTAAAATAAAAAAGGAAACACAGAAATGAAATTATTTACTTCAAAAGACAAATTATAAAATATATAATCAGAGTTAACACAATGAATACAGCACCTGTATGATTAAAGCTAACTGTGTTATTGAGAATAAGACAAAAGAAATCTTAGACTCCTAAATAGGAAGATGAAAAACCACGGAAATGTTCATTATTGCCAAGTTAACACATACATTCAATCCAATTTTAGTTAGGATTCCAATATTTTTGAAAAGGAAAACATTTCTGAGTTCTTATGAAAGAACCAGTGTCAAAGCAATGCAATGTATTATTGACAAGGGAAAACATCTAAACTTACTGTAAAGCTACCATAATAAAAACCATATGGCATTACCACAGAAACAAACAACAACAACAACAACAAAAGAAAACCCAACACAGCATACAACAAAGACGAAACAGGGTAATGAGCCACAAGAGAACAAAGATACAGGTTAGAATACTGACAAACATACTCAAGTTTACATGGAAATGTAATATTTACATTGCCATTTTATTTTAGTGAGAATAAATGGTATTGCATATTTGAAGGAAAACCTAAACTGGGCTATATTGACACCTTTTTTTTTTTGAAGATTCAAAGTGAATTAAGAATAAAAATGTAAAAAACAAAGTAAAAATAACAAGGCATTTAGGAAAATAGCATTGAATGGAGAGAATCTTCTTAGGCAAGACAGGAAACCCTGTTGCCTTAAGAAGTAGAAGTGGTTGCCTTTGCAATATGCTTAAATTTTTGTATAGCAAAAGAAATCATAGAGTCAAAAGGTTTGAGGGGAAACATTGCATGTAAGACCAAAAGAATCAATATTTTTCAGTATATGAAAAGCTCCTATAAATTAATAAGTTACAAAAAAAGTCATCTAAAATGGACAAAGGATAGTTAAAGACAAATTCATCTTACTTGTCATCAGAAAAATGCAACATTTTGAAAATGCAATATTGTTTTCACTCATTAGATTCACAGGGCTCAAAAAGAGTGGGACACCTCTGATGTAGGAAAATGTCATTCTCATATACTGGTGTGGAAGTGTTAATTGCTACAACCATCTTGCTAGGAATTCTGGAAATTATTATACATCCACAAACATCTTTTGGTCCAGTAACCTCACTCTTTAAAACTATTCCTTATATTTAGAAATATGAGGATGAAGATGCATAGTTGAGCACGGAAGGTGGAAACAGAAAACATAGAAGCCGCCCGCACGGTCCTGAATGGAATGTGGCTGAGCTATGGAAGTACTCCTTTGAGTGCAAAGTCTGGCACCAGAGCCTGCAGCTTCTGCCCATGCATGATCCTTAAGCAGAAACAGCAAGATACAGAGAAAGGCATGAGGCACCATCTCGCCTTTTGTTAAAAAAGCAAAACAAACAAACAAAAAAACCCAGTAGATGTGAATGTATGTATGATCACGCACACACAAAAATATTTAGGACGCTTAACCTCAAGCCGGGTGAGATCCGAGGCCCCAAGAACACCACGTTCCTCAGACAGACTCTCAGTGTGGGTGGTGCTGGGGCTGCAGCTGTAAGCTGATGGTGAGCATCTCTTGTAAACTCTGTTCAGTGACCTCGTGCTGGTTCTTTGAAATTGGCCACGCTGGAAGCGTTTGCACAGCAGAAATTGGCAAATGCTGCGAAGCAGGGTTTCCTCCCCTCAAGAGCCGGTTGTTAAACCTTTTTCAGCATGTCACTGCCACAGGACTGGAAATGCCGCTTCCGCTTCATCTCCAGAGGCCTACACTCAAATACTTGCTTACTCTTTGCACCGGGGAAATGCATGGGCACAGATAATTTTAGAGCACACAGGGGACCTTTCAGCTCTTATTTGCCAGAGGTCTCTGGTCTCTGGCGGGGAGTAACATCCTTTCCTGAGGATACTGTGGTCTGTGGAACCTGAGACAGCGCTATGCTGCATCCTCGCCACTGGGAGGCAGTGTTGCCCCAGGCAAGGCATCTGCCCAGCCAAGCCCAGCTGGGAGGAGCTCCCAGGGTCAGCAGTGGACAGCCAGTGTCTCAGCCCTCAGCGTCCTGGGACCCCTTCCCCGGGGACCCTTCCCTAGTGGTGGAGGTCAGGGAGAGGAAGAAATCAAACCTTAGCATTCTTACACCCATGGATTTCAAAAGCAGGGATAACAATAAGACATTCAGCATATTACCATTCAGGCCAACTGGCTCTGATACTTACAAGCAGTATCAGAAGTTAAAACACCACTAGCCTCGGTTTTCTCACCTGCAAAACGGGGCATATAGCAGTGTCAACTTCACAGGGAATTGCGATGATTACATGACATGATGCCCGTACCCCATTGATAGAGCTTAGAAAGGTGCCTGGCACCTGTTGATCCCCCAGGAAGGGCAGCTCCTGTGACACAGTGTGTTAGGGTCTTGTTAGTGTTTGTGCTCACCATCTGAGGTTTGAACTATAATTTTCCATTTTAGAGGTGGGACACAGAAGGAAAGGGGCTGTCTCAAAGCCACACAGTGAGGGCCTTGAACCCTGGCCTAAATGATGCCATGAGGCTCCCCTTCCTCATTTGGCACAGCAGAAACAATGGAGAGAGAAGAGGGGTCTAGAGCTGGCAACGGGATCTGATCTGCCCTCCCCAGCCCCGCCTGCACACCTGGGCAGGCTGCTCAATCTCAGCATTCCCTTTCTGAACCCCTGTAAAATGCGACTTGCAGTCACTACTTCAGAGTTATTGTGAGATCCAGTAACACAGCGAACGCAGAATCCTTCAAAACAAATAAGCAATACACTAATGTCTCCAGTCAGCTCATGCTTGTTGCACGCCAAATGTACGCCAGGCCATGGGCAATGGTGTTCTGTGAGCCCCCGGCTTTGCCCACATGGGCTCACAGTCTGTGAAGGCAGGGTTGATGCAGCCTCAGTTTCCTCCTCTGGATTCACACATTTTTGCCTGGCAGGGTCTGGCACTGGGGAGGGTAGGCGGGGCATCTTTACAATGTCCCACCCCCCTGTCTCACACACACACAGGCACACACTCACAAAGGAGGTATTGGGTCTTCATTCGTGGGCTCAATGCTGGGGAGCAACAGAGGTGGCCGCTTGTTGACAGGCAGCAGCTCAACATGGCAAGGACCTGTCCCGGGAGAGGCTGTCCCACGTCCAGCTGCAGCAGGGGTGCCCTGAACCTTACCCATACTTAGGCAGTGGTCGTTCCTCTGCAAAGCTCTTGGTGTCCATTGCTGTACTCCTGGAAAGAGGCCACCAGTGCCGAGGGCCACAGCCAGGCAGTCATGTCCAGTTCCTGAACTTGGCTTTCTCACCTTTGAGCTGGGGACACTGCCAGCCACTACACCAGTATTGAGGACTGACTGGAGGCCTGGAGCCCAGGGAGTGCTGGTGGGATGGCAGAGGCCCACAGGGTAACTGCTCGACTACAAGGCTCTGCTCCCAGCTCCTGCCCGAAGCCCAGTGTCGCCTCTCCTTTGCAATGTCTTATAAAATAAACAGGTGCTGGTCATCTCAACCTGTAGAGCTGTCTGAGGACTGAATAAGGCAGGTGTGAGTTCCAGGCACATAGGCTGGCGACACAGAGGCAACACTAGACCCAGCCTCCACAGCTGGCACCTCCACCCTTCCCGGTGCTCAGGCTCAAGCCACACTTCCACCTCAGTGCCTCACTCCTGCCAGTCTGTCCTCAAAGGCAGCCGCCCCACCTCCAGCCCGACCACTGCTGCACCTCCTGTGTGAGTCATGTTATCAGCACACCTGGGCCAAGCCAGTGGCTTTGGGGACCTCCTGGCTGCACTCTCCACCAAGTTGACAGAGTGGTCTTTTAAAGTCGAAGTTAGATCCTGTCTGTCCCCTGCTCTGAGCTCTCCAGTGGCTTCTGTCTCACTCACATGGAATAAAATCCAAAGCCCTCACCTGGCCCTATAAGGGCCTCACCACCTCCTTCTTATCCATGCCTCAGAGACTCTGTACTTCTGTCCCCTGTGCCCGGCACACCCTTCCCCACGCAGCCAAAGGTGGCTCCTCTATTCATCCCGGTCTCTGCTACGGCCACCAGGACAGAGCTGCTCCTTCCTTCCCTATTATTTCAAGGCTGTTCTCCCCTGTGCTTCCTCGGGACTCCATCCCTTCACCTTGCTGTCTGCTTCCTTTTAGCACCCAATGCCACATGATGGGTTTAATGCCATCACCGTGCCCCCTCACCTGTGAAACTCCAAAAAGGCAGAGGCTTGGTTTTGTTCTCTCCAAGCCCCTGCCCAGCACTATTCACTAGCCTTTGGCCTGGCACTACTAATAGGCACTCAATAAATACATCTCGAGCAAATGAATGAATTAGTAAATGCAGGACTGAGTGAGTGAGTGAATGAATGAAAAGCTTCCCATTAACCCACGTATGTGCTCTGAAGGATTGGTTCAGAATCAAAGGATTTTGATCAAATACCCATGTACAGAAGTCCACTCCAGACCCAAATTCCTCCAAAAACAGACTCACCTCTCCTTAGGGACACACAGAATGCTTATCTCCTAAACTCATTCCAGAATCTCTGGTGGTTGGGTCAAAGAAAATCTACTGGGAAGAACCCAGCAGACCTCCCATAAATGGAGCTCCTGGTGTCCCTGCCCTTCCTCTCGGTAGGTGGCTTTGTTGAGGGAGAGTTACAGACTCTACTGGGACGGGACCTTCCTAGGTCAAATTCCTTCTTTCTCCAATCTATGTGACTCGGGCCGGTCAGAGCCTCAGTTTCTCTCTACGAATAAGAGGTTCAAGCCCATTGCACATACCTAGCTTGCTGTGATGTTGAAGCAGGGATGGGGCCTTTTTGGTGACAACCTGCTATATGCTGGGTGTACACAGAGCACTCAGCATCTGGGGACATTCAGCAAATCTCAGCTCCCCTTCCCCACCTGACCCCAGCCATGGCATTCCTGCTGCCTTCACTCCTCTGAAGGGGGAAGTGAGGGTAAGAGAAGAAGCCACTTGCCTATGGAGATATTTTGCAAAGCTGGGACTGGATGAATCTCAGATTCCTGAGTCTGAGCCCAGAACTCACCCATTGCCACCCACTGAATGTGTTGACTTTTAACGGCTATCTGAAGATGTGGTTCCCCTGCTGAGCACTAAGGAGGAGGAGGGATGAGAAAAAACAACCACTGCCCAAGTGAGCTCCATGCCTGAAGAAATCTACTGAGGTTGCGGTGGGCTTGGGATGGGCATTGACTGAGGGCTTGGGCATCAACTACTTCACTTGACTCAATTCTAACACAGCTCTGGGCAGTAAGCATCCCTGTGCCCATTTTACAGAGGAAAAGCTGAGGCTCCCAGAGGGGTAACCACAAGCCCAGAGTCACACACACCTTGCAGATAGCAGAGCTCAGGTTCAAACCCAGGTCTGCCTAAGTCCCAGCTTTCCCCCACTGTGCAGTCCACATCCCCAGATCCTCTGAACACTGCCTCTCCAGCCAAGCCTACCGGGACTGAGACACACACTTTCTTCCCACAGCTGGGTCTCCAGCTCACTCCCTGAAGCTCCTGGGCAGGTGACAGTGGTGAGAGAAGTGGACCACAGAGTGAACACCCTCTGAAAATGGGCTCCACTCAGTCTGAATGCTAACCCAGGATCCGATTGTCAAGAGGAAAGGAAAATCCAAGGTTTCCCGGGAAATCTCCTGATTTTTCCATGTCGTCAGTTATGTTTTGTTTTGGGTCCTTGAGCCACTGTCCAGCCACTGCAGCACCCAAACACTGGCAGGAGCCAATGCGGATTGTCTGTTCCTATGGCCTAAGTCACGCCCCCCAAATTCCTATACTGAATCCCTAACCCCTAGTACTTCAAAATGTGACTGTATTTGGCGCTAGAAACTTTAAAGGGGTGATTAAGTTAAAATAAGGCCATCAGGGTGGGTCTTAATCCAAAATGACTGGGGTCCTTGTAAGAGGAGATTAGGACCCAGACAGGTACAGGAGGAAAGGCGTGAAGATGCGGTGAGAAGGCGGCCATGTGCAAGCAGAGGAGAGAGGCCTCTGCAGAAACCAACGCTGCTGATGCCTTCATGGCAGACTGTTCGCCTCCAGAACTGGGAGGAAATAAAGTTCTGTTTTTTATGCATTCCGTCTGTAATACTTTGTCACGGCTGCCCCAGCAAATGTCTTCATTCATTTCCTTCTTTCTTTCCTGCCCTTTCTCCCTCTTTCTCTCTCTCCCTCTCTTTCTCTCCTTCCTTCCTTCCTTTCCTTTTCTCTTTTCTTTCCCTCCTTTATTCCTTCTTCCTTCCACGCCTCCTCTCTCTCTCTGTCTCTTCCTCCTGTACCTGGTGGGACATAACATGACCAAATTAAAGAAGGACACGATGACTGCAGGGTGGATCTGGCAGACCGTGTGGGGAAAGGTGGTCCTGAGCACAGATCCACCCCACACGCTTCCGTGAGACATTCCACTCAGCTTCCTTCAGGGACCAGGGTGGTCTCTGCTTGAGAAGCGCGGGGGAGGTGGTGGTGGTGAAGGGGGAGGCCCGAGGGCATCTTCTCTACACTGATGGCTGCAGGGCAAGGTGTGTGGCGGGATGGGGGGACTCTTGCGAGCAGGGCTGAGGAGAGAATGGGAAAGGGAAAGAAGGGTGGGGAGGGAGGGGCAGGGGATGCCTGCCTCCCGCCCCCAAATCTCTAAAATTCTACTCAATCTCACAAAAGGGTGCGTGTGAGTGGATTTCTTAATAGTGCTGACAAAGGGTGAGGGGGAGACAAAGGCCCCGCCAGCTGGTGCAGGAACTGCGACGTGGCTGTGCGGGGAAACCGGGTGGGGCAAGCCCCAAGGAGGTTCGACCGGCTTCCAAGCCACGTGTGCACAAATAACCCCACAATCAGCGCCCCACACCCAGGGAACCGGTGCGGCCTTCCTCCCATTGCAGCAGCGGGAGACTGCATCTGAGCAGGCTGGGGAGCCGGGCCTCGCCGCCAGCGAGCGGCAGGGCTGGGACTGGATCCTCGGCTCCCCAGGCTCCCCGCGCGGCCCCGGCCTCCTGGCCATCCTCTCTGGAAGTCCGGGCTTCAGACTCTCCAGCAAGCCTGGGCCGCCAAAGCCGGGACCGCAAAACAAAGGAGCTCGCGTTTGCGGGGAGCCGCCTGGCCGCCAGGGGGCAGCGTGCGGCCATCGACGCCGCCGCGGGGCCGCCTCAATCCCGGCGCAGCCCGGCTCGCACCCCGCCCGCCCAGGCACCCGCATAGGCCCCCACGCCCCGGCTGCCGCCTGCGCCACTTCTGCCGCCCGCCTTTCCCTTTTCGACTGGCAGATCGGAAGCCGGCGGTCCCTCCGGGCCTCGCTCGAAGATCCGCCCACGCAGCCTTCCTCCGGCTTCCGCACGCAGACCCGCACCCTCCCCGCCCGCCCCTCCAGCAGCCCCCGCCCGCCCCTCCAGCAGCCCCCGCCCTGCAGCGGGTGAAAGTCTCCACAGCGTCCAGTGCAGCGCAGATGCAGATTCCAGCATCCCAGCGCCGTCTAGATGGAGCCCAGACACCTGCAGAAACAGGCGGGCTGCGCGGCCTCCTGGGCCGTGTCTGTCCCATGCTGGCCACACCGGGCTGGGGGCTGGGACCGTCCGTTTAGTTTACTGGATCTTTCTCCATCCGCCCACGGCAACCTCCTCGGGCCAGGACTACATCTGAGTCGCCCCTGTCCCCCGAGGCCCAGCTTGGTGCTTGCTGATCAAGCCCTTGTGGGTTCCCAGGGGTGCCCTTGGGTCCTGGGGGCTCCTCTCAGGCATGCCCACCCTCCCATGTTTCTCCTGGTCTGGGGCAGCTGTGCGTCAAGTCTTCTATACACCGAAGGGGGCCTCCTCTGCGACAACTTGGCAATCAGCAGAGCTGGGATGCTGCTGCAAACCCCAACCTCCTGTCCCAGCCCACAGGCCTCCTCACACACAGAGGAAAGAGTGTGCACTGCCCTGCACTGAAGCTTACAACCAGCTGGAAACTGTCCTTCCTGTGCCTTTCCTCATTTCACCTTCAAAAAGCCCCACAAAGTTGAAATGCTGCCACGCCCATTCCACAGATGAGGAAGCTGAGGCCCAGAGCTGGGGAAAGACCTGCACCAGCTCATCCTCTTGGGGGGCATCCCAGAGCTCTGCACTCTTCCTGGAACCCGCCCACCCCCATTTGCCCTCCCCTGCCCTCTGATTCTGAAGCATTCTCCTGCCCCCTCTCACAGCCCCCAGCCTGTTTCCTGAGAGGGTGACACAATATGTTCTCGTATAGTTTCTCATGACTGCCACTGCCTGTCTCCTCAATTCTGAGCGCCATCCAGGCAGGAGCCATGCTAATTTTGTTCACCATCCTATTCCTGCTCATAGCAGTTTGCCTGACACATAGTAGCTATTCAATGAAATGTGTTGAACGAATGACTGAAAATTCAAAACATCCTTGAGGGTGTATGTTATATCATCCCCATCCCCATCCCATGTTACAGATAAGGAATGAATCTGAGCTCCGAGTTAGAGCTGGAACTAAAAAGAAGGAAAATGTCTGATACCAATTAATCAAGAAGTCTATCAAAGTGTATTTGCTTAAAGGGTTTATAAAGATGAAATTACACATATGTATATTGCAAATACCTGGCGTGTGTTAATAACAGAAATGGAATGGACAAAGATAGTCAACTCTGTGAAAAGTACCATATGAAGGCAAAGGTGACGGAGGGAGGAGGCTTTGGAGTTTTTAGGTTGCTGTTACGGTAGGTGTGTTGTGAGCCAAGAACACAGCTGGAATTTGACCAAGTGGAGCAGAGAGCCAGGCTGAAGCTAAAATGTCCGGGCACTGTGTGGGCTTCCCTGGTCATGCCCCCTCCTCCTGCTAACGGAGTTATGAAAATGACACCAACAGACGGGTAAATAAAGTATTCTGTGGGACCCTGCCAGCCGGAGCCTTGCTAGCTACACCCAGAGGAGAGGCTGGGAGGGTTTGCAGTGAATTTGAGTTGCTCATGACCTGCCTGTGCTGAACGGTGGGTTTGGGGGCCTTACGAGCCCCCATGCCTGCTGAGGCACCCCCTTATACACTGCCCTGTAGAATCAGTTCAGACTGTCTCCATTTATGAGTGAGAGGAAATCATGGAGGGAGAGAAAGGGGTCAGCAAAGAGAGGGGACGTCACTGGCCTTGGCCTCACAGCAGGTGGTGGGGAAAGGGCACCCACCCAGGTCCACACAGCCACCTGGGCTGCAACCTGTGTCCCGAGACAAGGCAGGAGCTGAGTCCTAGCAGGCCTTGCCATCTCCAGCTGCAGTTCTGTGCCATGAATTATTCCTCCAGCACCAGGGACACCGTCCGAGCCTGGCCACACTGCTGGCTTTTAATTTACGATACTTCCCAACAGGAGGCTGCTGGAGGCCCAGCTGTGAGCCACTCGGGACAGCCCGCTGACCTCATGCCCTCTGCACATTTGTCAAGCCCACGGTGCAGGCCGGGCCCTGGGCTCAGAGCCCCATGAGCAGCCTCAGGGGAGACAAAAAAGCTGAATTGAGACTGCTGATCTGCCCCTTACTAGCTGTGTGATGTGGGAAAAACTACTTGGCCTCTCTGGGCACTTTTCCTCATTTGAGAAATGGACCAGCCACTCACAAGGTTTTGGTTTCATGTAGATGAGAATTGTATGTGAAATGGGAATATACCTGATGTCATCAAGGCAAAAAAAACCACTAGGCTCCTGGCCCCCAAGCCAGGGCTTTCTCTAGATCAAAAGGCAGAGACAGTAGCGGAGGGCGGCGGCAGGGCGTGGGGAGCCGGGCGAACCATGGAGCCTTTGAATGCTGGGCACTGACCTTGGATTTGATCCGGAGGCCAGGGAGGGTTTGAAAGGAAATGTTCAGATTTGCATTTCAGGAAAGGCTCATGGGAGGCTGGGTTCTGAGAGAGGCAGGCATGGGAGACATGCAGGTAGGTGCCTGCCAGGGTGATGGGGGAATCTGGGGAGCAAAGGGGCAGGGCCAAGGGCCTCAGAGCTGCTATTTCCATTAATGTCCTTATTATGGGTCACATTTGTGCTGCACCAGTGAACACCCATGTCCTCGCTCCCTGCAACTTGGAGGCCTCCTCACTTGGCTTTTATCCTAATCTTTGCACCTGCCTTTTTCAGTTCCCTAAAAAACATCAGAATTTAAACAGCAGGGCAGTGCATAAGAAGGCATCTGGAAGGAGAACTGAGGAGAATGTTGCCCTGAGTGTCCCTGCCCGCTATTCCTGCTACTCACACCATACCTTGGGCAAGGGTCTTGAGTTGGGAGAATATCTGGGTTTAACCAGGGGTACTCAGTGGCCTCACAAAGGCCCTCCTGAAAGGGAGGCTGGAGGGAGATATGAAGATGTGTGCCTCTGGGCTTTGGAGATAAAGGAAGAAGCCACAAGCTAAGGAATGAAGGCAGCTTCTAGAAGCTAGAAAAGATGACGGGAAGCATTCTCTCCTAGAGCTTCCAGATGAAACATAGCCCTGCTGATACCTTAATTTTAGCCAGTGAGACCTGTTTTATACTTCTGACCTCCAGAACTGTGAGAGAAGAAATGGATGTTGTTTTTAGGCAGGAAATTCATATGTTACAGAACAATAAGAAAATAATGCTCCTCATTCTCTCTGGGCCTCTGTTTCCCCACTGGGGATGTGGACACAGGGCATGCTTCATGCTCAGGCTCTGCTGAGTGGGACCCAAAGCCGTGTGGAGGCCAAGCAGACCTTTCCCGCTCCGGAGGCTCAGACTGTCCCAGTGCCAACCATGGTAAAGGCACATACCTGCCCCATGGGTTTTGGGTGAGGTGAGTGGGTGAGAGGGACAATAGGGACTGGCAGGGCCTGTGGAAAAGCACAGACCAAAGGCTTTGGCTCCCAGGGCAGCCCCACGCATGGGGCCAGGTAAGGAGGCAGGCCCGGGTGGCTGGATGGCCCAGCTCTGCTTAGAGAAGCCAGAATGATTGGTTTTCATGTGAAATCTCTAGTCCTCAGATGTTGCCAGCCAATTAGAAAGAATTAAACACCGAGCGAGCCAAACCAAACACATGTGCAGCCCAACCTGGCCTCGGGGCTGCAGCAGCACTGCTTCC